TTGTTTACAATTGTTCTGTTTATGTAGCCAAATGTGCTAAATAAATCTTTCTACTACTACTACTACTACTACCACACACGCCCAAGGCTTTCTTGTACCCAAACAAGGCTTTGTTGTGTGTTTGGTGGACAGCAGCTGGAAATGTCCATTATGAGTTTTTGGAAAGGGGTCAAACAATCACTGCTAACTTGTATTGTGAGCAGCTTCAACGAGTACAAGTAGCACTCGTTCAGAAACAGCCTTCGTTGGTCAATCGTAAGAAAGTGATATTCTTGCAGGATAACGACAAGCCTCATACCGCAAAAGTGATCCGAGAAAAAACTCGACTGGGAAACGTTACCGCACCCGCCATATCCTCCTGATATTTTGCCCAGTGACTATCACTTTTTTTTGTCCCTTGACAACTGTATGAGGCACTGACAGTTCACAACTCGAGATGGTGTAATAAATGCAATCCGCCAATTTTTTTACTCCAAATCCAGGGAGTTCTACAATACCGGCATACACAAATTGGTTCCACGTTGGCAAAAAAAGGTCATTGAATGTGATGGTACTTCGACGTATAAATAGGGTCTTATTGTTTCTCAATAAAAATTTATATTTTTCTACTAAAAACCGAACGAACTTATTTGGTTACCTGGTATTTTCTTGACCATAGCTTCTCAAATATATTTATCCATATTATTCATGATTTGTTCAAAGTAGTTGTCGGCATTATAGATAATTTCAGGTATGTATTTTAAAAGTGTTTCTCGTTCCTGTGTGAAATTAATCACTGTAATTTCAGTCATTTTATTTTCATTGAACATATTTTTTGAACATATCCATGAGTGATCGCTTATTTTTGGGGTATGCAGTTTAGAGATTTGGATCACGGATTCGGATTTAGCGCATCAAAGACCACCGGGAAAGTATACTCTGGTTTCTGGATAAGATGGTCGGCTCACTTTTGTCGTACATGTTATCTTTTGGATTTACAAAATGGCTTGAGAGGGTAGAGCCACTGTTGACAGAGTTAAGAGAGTCTTCCCGGGGCCATAGAGATTATATAACATTACATCTATTACGGGTGCTCTATATTCAGTTGATAGGTGTCAGTAATAGTAGTAGTAGTAGAAAGATTTATTTAGCACATTTGGCTACATAAACAGAACAATTGTAAACAACTTAGAACTAGTAAATTCAAGCCATATGGTGTATGATGTAAATGCTGGGCAACCTATAATTGTAGATTTAACAAGTGATTTCTCAATTTTACTTTAAATTTTGTCAAAGTTTTCTGGTCTTTATCTCCGAGTATAATTTATTATATTCAATCAACCCTTGATGGAATACAGATTTGTAGCATATGTTATACTTTTTGGTCATTAAATGGAAGTGATCTTTATTTCTGGTATTATGTAAATGATGGTCGACATTTGATGATGTTAAATTAGTTAGACTTGATGGAAATATATTATTTTTTACTTTATAAATGAATATCATTACAAGATATTTGATAAAATTTTTTACATTGAGCCATTTTAATTTGCTAAGCATTTGCCTAATTGGAGTATATTTATCTTTATTTAGTATTATTCTCATGCACTTATTTTGTAAAATTTGCAGTCTTTCAAAAATGGAATTATTTGCTAAATATAGAATAGTCGAACAGTACAAGAAATTTGGAAGAATGATGGTATTATAGATAATTTTTCTGCTATATGAACTCAGACATCCAGAAACCCTCGATAAATATCCCACTTTACTACTAATCTTATTTATAACTTTTTCATAATGAATATCAAAAATTAATCGAGAGTCAACAAAAACTCCCAGGTATTTAAAATTTTCTACGAATTCAATATCTTCACCATCAATATTCAGTTGAACATTTGTACATTGTTTTTTTCCGATTAACAAGGCTTTCGTTTTACTTGCATTTAATTTTAGTCTGTTAGATGCTAACCATTTTGAGACAAGCTTCAAGTCTTCATTTATATAAGAGATACCAGACTGAATATTTTTAGTACTTATATAAATCATAGTGTCATCGGCGAAAATTTGAATTTTGCATTTTTTGACTATGGCAGGTAAATCATTTATGTATAAAATAAAAAGAAGTGGTCCCAGGATACTGCCCTGTGGAACACCCAACGTATTTTCAATTTTTGATGAAATAGTGTCATTAACTTTTGTAACTTGCATCCTTTTAGACAAATAATTTCTAAACCAATCTAAAACACTTCCTGTTATACCATATCCCTTCAATTTACCTAACAAAATATCTCTATCAATCGTTTCAAATGCCCTCTTCAAATCCAAAAATACTGCTATGACAACTTCTTCTGAGTCTATGGCTCTTCTCCAATTCTCAGTTACCAACTGGAAAGCTGTTTCTGTGGAATATTTTTTTCGAAAGCCTGCTTGCGCCTCCACTAAAATTTTGTTTTCTTCTATAAACTGCATTAATTGGTCATGTACTATGGACTCTAATAATTTTTCAATGTCTGGTAACACATTTACTGGTCTCATATCGCTGCATCTTTTAGAATTTTTTATTTTGGGAACTGGTGTTATTGTAGAGCATTTCAAATTTTCAGGGAAAGAACTGCTTCTCAGTGAACAATTGATCCAATTTAATACAGGATATCCCAAAATTTCGAAACAGTTTTTCAGCACGTTTTTAGTAGTCATTTCGGCACAGTTGTTATTTGATTTTAAACTGTTTACTTTTTTTCTTAGATAATTCAATGATACGCTGTGAAATTTTGAAAGTGTATGCAACATTTCCCCTTGGAAACTGATTTTCATATAGTCAGGTGCAGCATTGGCAGTACCTACAATATCAACAATACTTTCCACAAAATATTCATTTAGTTTGTTTGCAATCACCAAAGAATTTGTTTCGGTACCGTTTTCGAATTGAACTTGATTTACACAATCATGCGGCTTCGAATTGATCAGTCTTTTTAAAGTCTTCCACATGTTTACACTGTCGCACTTGATATTATCGATTTGTTTATCGTAGAATTTTCTTTTTTCTTCTCTAATTACATATACACATTTATTCCTAAGAGTCTTATATACCTCCCAATCATCATTTGATTTTGTGAATATACATTTATTGTATTGTTTGTCTCTCAAATTTTGAGCTACCTTAATATTCTTGTTATACCAGGGTGTATTTTTTGTCGAGCAAATCAGTTTTTTATCAGTTGCAAGATCTAAACAAGTTTTTATATTTCCTATTATGTTGTCATATATTTTTTCCATATTCTCACCAAAATTCCAATAGCAGCCAGCAAGTTCTCGTTCAAGTTTTTCGTACTTAATAGTATTTACGATTTTCTTAATTTTTGTATCAGAAAAATATTATTCAGGACTCCTTGTATGTTTAAATGGTATATTGAGTTATATTCATCACTTATAGATTTAGCCACGTCTTGCAAATCTGAGCTTAGTAGTTGCTATTCATTTGCATAATTAATTTTTTCCCTCTCACGTTCAATTTTCCTTTTATATACTTCACAATTTTTGTCAAATGGTCCATGATTAATAAGTAATCCTAGATTAAAATCCTGGTTTGCACTTTTACAATTTGGACAGCATTTGTACATTTCACTGGTACTACAGTTTTCTGTTGAATGTCCTTCTAATCCACAAGTAAGACATCTTCCTGATTTTGTGCAGTATTTAGCTGTGTGGTTAAATCCGGTACATTTATAGCATCGCAAAACATTGATGTACTCGAAAACAGAGCAAACAGACATGTCGATAAAAATAACACCCTGATTCATAACACACTTAAAAGTCACAGCATCCACTTCTAAAATTGCTTGATATTTAGTTTTCATTTTCTTGACTGTAATTACTCTCATATGTGAATTTTCTTGAAAAGATTCATTTTGTGATTTTATAGTATTTATTAGCTCGTCTTCTGCATATTCTTGACAAAATCCAATAACTTTGATTTGTGGTTTTTCACTTATCTCTGAAGTTTTCACTGTATATGTTTCTGGCATTTTTGATTTTATTTCATTATGTAGCTTCGCGTTATCATCTTTTGTTTTACATTGGATTTTCACCCCACCATCTTTCAATTCATAAACTTTTTCAATAGCAATTTTCAAACTGGTAGGATTCACAAATTTTGCGATGTCTTTCTTTGTGTTATTACACTCTTGTTGGTTATTAGGCTTAACAATGACTGTATTTGTGGGTTTTAATACTGGTGATTGTTTTTTTGCTGTACATGTTTGTAATGGTACGCATTGTTGCTTATATTCTACCATTTTGGTAGGCGAATTAACGGTTGAAGGCCCTGAAGCTTTAACCATATTAGCGTAAGTTGTAATTGCTTCTTGTGACGGCTGTTGCATTTTCCCAATTTTTTTGTTTAATTGGTCTATCTTTTCGTACAATTCTTTTATTAATTTCTCTTGAATCGAAATGGTATAATCTTTTAGTTTCAAAACTTCCTCTGTATAAAATCCCTTTTCACTCAGTGAGACCACACTCTCCACTTCCTCACTAGCTCCATCCTTTTTAGAGTTTTCCTCCATATTCAAACTAAAAATTCAGGAATCTCCTAAAAACCTTCTTTAGCTTGACCTAATTTTTGACATTAGAAGTCAAAAAAGTATTTCCAGAATTAATTTTGTGCAATCTCTTCCGTGTGGGATTTGCAGCTGCAAACAGGTGTGGCGATATATATTTCGTTAATCTTCCCGGTGATCCTTGGTTGATATTTTTATGTGTGGTCTTTACCAATATTTCGTGTCTGTGTTGGAGCGAATAAACAGAGCAAGTGTAGTAGTTAATATAGCAAACTAGTTTGATGAGAGGCATCAGGAATAATGCCATCAAAACTGAGGACCGAAATAAATTGTTTGGTGGATATTTCATATGGACTATTCTACATTTTCGATATGAGTTTTTATACTCGGAAGGAAAATCATATGATCTTTAACCTACAATATTAAGAATGTTTTTATTATTTGCCTAATTTTATTTTTCAGGTCCCGATTACTACCTGACTTACTCAAGCTTAGAACAACCACCGCCAGCTAGTGAGTTTGACTTCAAACTGCAACTCGTTGAGAGCAACTTTGAACTTCCTAGCGGATCTCCCGCTAAGAGAGAACACATGATGGAGGTTCTGAAACGTTTGAAGGGAGTTTATCTCAGAGCTACATATTGGACAGCGAGCGTCACCACTAGGTAAATAGTTCTCAAAAAACCTGAAATGGGTTTTACTAAAAACTTAAAGAAAATATGCCACCAACACAAAATTGGACTACTTAACTACACAGAAATCTCTCTAATATTCAAGACGAAATAAGGAACACATGGAGAAGTGAGGCTTTCTAAAACGCTTCGCAAAATAAGTTACTTTACCCTTTACATATGGAATTACTCTGAAAATCCAATAACGTATGTTTTCGATCTCCTATCAGTTTTTGAGCATTTGGAAAATAGACGGCTCATAGATATAGTTTTGTTTCTACTAAACCTAGTTCAAGGTTACCAAATTTCGCCTTAGCAGGTATGCTATGAAATCAAATATAACATGTTTTTATGGTATTTTATCATTGTTAGACAATACTCTTGGATATTCTTTTTAGACTCATCAACGTGTTACAAGACGAAGCAATCCCTCCAGAACCAGGTTACGAAAACGGGGTACCAGCACTTTCAGTCGAACAATGCATGTGTCCACCCAACTATCAAGGTTTGTCCTGTGAAGAGTGTGCTCCAGGCTACTACAGAGTCCAAGGACCCCATGGAGGATACTGTATTCCTTGCGAGTGTCATGGACATGCCACTGAATGTGACGTCAACACTGGACGCTGTCTGGTATGATAGAAAAGCTTTATATTATCTGGAAAACAGTATGAAAGTTATTGACAAATCTAACTCAAGACTAAAATATAACGACTTTTCCCGTCCCAGATGCTTTGGAAAATTTTCAGCAGGGAGCTCTCTCCATCAGTCATCAATTGGGTTATTTTATAACAAGACAATTATTTTTGTTGACTGTCAATATTTTGATTTATTTTCAGAACTGCATGCACAATACAAAAGGAGACCATTGCGAATTTTGTGACGAAGGTTACCATGGCAACGCTAAAGCTGGAACTCCAAGAGATTGTCTGATCTGTGCTTGTCCACTACCTATCGCTAGCAATAAGTAAGTCTTTGTAGTCAACATATCATTTTAGATCCATTGAGCTTTTGAATCAACCATACATCTTACGACAGCCAAATTCATCCCTCCGTCTCAATTTTGCTCGGTCCCAAGGAAATGACATTTCAGAAGAGAGATGAAAAAAGCGGAACATATTTTGTAAAACAATTTAGTATTGGATCTTTTTTGATGCAATATCGTGCATTTAGGGATGATTATGGATTTTAATGACTCCGTTTTTCGATTTCCAGCTTTGCTGTTGGTTGCCAAGTTAGTGCGGATGGTGAAAAAATAAGCTGTGACTGCAGGGAAGGCTACATTGGTGCAAGATGTCAATCATGCGATGCTGGATTCTATGGCAGACCAGAGTTGCAAGGTACAGCAACAAGAAAAATACTATTCTATAAATTCATAATAATGTACTGAACACTTTAGGGTAATAAGGTTCACGTACTTTCACGTCGTCACGAGACATTATATTATTTTTATTGCTGTTCCTTGTAATTGATTTAAAATACCAAAACTTTAACTTTGATTCCCCTATACAGTATAGGAATATTTTTTGGAAATGTATTCGATTATGTAGAAATAGTTCTATTGGACATTTTTGTTTCAGGTGATTTCTGCAAGCCCTGTCAGTGTTCTGGCAATATCGATCCAAGAGATCCTTCTTCATGTGACACAGTTACTGGCGAATGTTTGAGATGTTTAAACAACACTTTCGGTACTGCTTGCTCGTTGTGCGCTCCAGGTTTCTTTGGTGATGCTGTACACCTCAAGGATTGTCAAGGTACGAAAATCTGCGTATATGGTGGATATTCTTTATTTAGTTACATAAGCTTTGACAATGCTGGAAGTGCAGATTGCAATAGATATTCTATTTTAAAATGGGGGATGCGCTCCTTATTTGCTACTTGGGTAATAGGTAACGGGTTAGTTGTTAGTTTCTTACTAATATACTATATATATACAGGGTGACTTTGAAGTTGAGTCATTAATTTTCAGATAATGATTGTAGAAGGAAGATAAACCAAAATATGTGTGTAAAAATAAAAAAAATAATAAAAAAACATTTACCTTGTTTTATAAAGTATCCTCCCAACAAGTATTTCAGTGCGAACCTGTATTTGATCGCGAGGTCTTGGAGCACCGGCATGCCGTCTTAAGTCACCTGATTCACGAGCCCGTTGTACTACATTAACAAAGGCACGAGGGGTTGGTTGCACTCGATTGGGAAACCGATCCACATAAACATATGCCATTTTTTATTTCGTTTGAGCCACGCAACAGACACTACTATTCACTGACGCGTCACCGACTGACACTGACTGTATACAACACAACTGAATAAAATAATTGTAAAAACATCGTTCCAAATTCTTTCGCTTTTTTGTTTCCGATGCGATGAACCGATAAGGCGGATTATATCCGTTGTTGCCAAACACGAGCACATAATATTATCATTGAGATAGGGCGGTACTCAAACTTCCAAAGGGCTATAACTTTGTTACTTTAATTTTACCAGAAAAATGGTGAAGGAAAAAACATTTCTTTTGATCAGATCTACTCACTGTTAAAATAAATGACTCAACTTCGAAGTCATCCTGTATATAGGGTGTTCCATAATGATATGCGAATATTTAAGGATGTGAATCTGCATGAAAAATTAATGTTAGTTTGCTTTATAAACTATGGTCCAAAAAGGTTTCCTTACAAAAACTGAAGTTTTAGGAAAAAATGGAAATTAATATATTCAGAACCGCTTCAGATATTTCACTGATATTTAGTACGTAGTGAAGGTTAATAAAGTTGCATATTTTTCAATGCAAAAATAATTTTTAGCTTCAACAGTGGCGTGTGTACGGGTATTGACTTCGATATTTTTTAAGAAAAAAATGGTACGCCAATGATTTTTTTTCAAATAAAAATTATTTTTGAATTCTCCGTTCAATTTTAAACAAATGATCTCTCTTGAATTGTTTTCCTTCGATGTGCCAGTTTTGAATAAAAAAATAAAAACCGTTCTATTGTCCGAGAAAATTAATGTAATGACTGAAGAATGCAATTTAGCAATAAATATCTAGTTTGCTCTGGAATATGTCACTGGCTGATTCTGTTCACGGACGAAGCTATTTTTTCTCGAAATGCCATTAAGAATTTCCACCATAATCATTTGTGGGCAGAAGAAAATCTCTATGTCGTAACCGAAACCTATTTCCAAAACCAATTTTCGCGGTTAAAGTTTGGGCAAGACTTATTGTCAACCACTTTATTGGCCTATTCTTCTTGCCGGGACGACTTGACGGACAGACTTACCTCAATTTTCTTCAAAAACAGTTGCCTTTGCTGCGTGATGATGTTCCGTTAGTAATAAGAAACGATATGTGGTACATGCATGATGGTGCACCAGCGCATTGCAGGGTAGCGGTTGGTAATTCTTTACAATCCAAATCGTTGGAGTGGCCGCGGTGGGCCCCAAGAATGGCCACCAAGGTCCAAGGACCTCAACAGTTTAGATTTCTTTTTGTGGGGCTATCTTAAGACACTAGTGTACACAAGTCCCATTAATACGGTAGAGGAGTTAAGAGAAAGAATAGTTGCAGCTTGTGATAGAATAAAAAACACTCGAGGGATATTTCAACGAGTGCGCAATTCCATGAGAAGGAGGGCGGAAGCATGCATACTAAGTGAAGGGTCCATTTTCAACAATACTTGTAATCATTTCGTTGGTTTTAATGTTATGTTTATGTTGTCAGTTGTTGTTGTTTATTACCCCTAATGTGTTTAATTTTTCCAATTAAATTAATAATAATTTTGCAAGTTAGACAATAGAACGGTTTTTACACACCTTCAGATTAATGAAGTTTGTTTTTTTAGTCATCGGCAACTGGAAAACAAAAGACATGATATAGACTGGGAATATTTCCATGTACTTGCTCATAATATCGGTGCTCATAATACAAAATTTCCTAAATTCAGCAATGTTTAATACTCCTAAATATATGAAAGTATAGCTTACATCCTCAAATTTCAGTAATCCAGTACAATCAATAGGATTTTTTGCCAGTAATATTTTTGTTCACTTATAAATCGGCGGTGGACAGGTTTCCCGGGCGTTAAGTGCTGCTTTTCACCCCACGAGCTTATTTATGCCCTAACTCTATTATTTTTAGTCAAATTCAGTCGCGAGTATGGATTCCTTAGGTAATTAACATTACGTAGTGCATGAGAGTGTATTTTTTCAAAAGTTTGATATCTGGTTGGCAGCGCTTCCCCCATTCTCAGAATACAGTTTGTGGTGGAGGGCTGTAAATCTTTATGGGTTGTGGTGGTTCAGTCCACTCACAGATGTTGTAAGATCTATTTCAAACAAGCCTGCATTTGTGAACTGTCCAATCATTTCGTAGAGGATGCACTCATGCGTTTTCATGTTACAATATCACTACCTTTTGGCTTTTTCCAGCATGTATCTGCGACGAGACAGGCACTGACCACTGCGACAGCTTCACTGGCCGTTGCGTGTGCAAACCGAACGTCGTAGGCGAGAAGTGCGATCGTTGTGAAGCCCATCACTACGGCTTCCACAGTGGGCGTGGCTGCGTCGAGTGCCGTTGCTCCGCCGCCTCCGAAAGCGACCAATGCGATGACGCAACGGGGCAGTGCAAGTGCAAACCGGGTGCGGCTGGAAGACAGTGCGACAGGTGCGCTGCTGGGTATTGGAACTATACTTCTGAGGGGTGCCAGTGTGAGTATCCTAATTAATTTTGTTTGTTTTATGCGAAGAATATTTAAAAACCCTTGCATGAACAAATAATTATTGCAACGTCAAAAAAGGAAATAATGCTGTAATCATTTATATACTTGGGTTCAAAAAAATACCATTACACATAAGAAAAAATGGCGCCAAGTGTGGTGACGCAACGCTGTCATCAGTTCATAGAGTATTAGGTTCAGCGCAATTTAAATCCTCTGAGAAAATATTGAGATACCGACAAGTAGAACAGAGAAATTAAACATATCAAGTCAGTCAACAGGCCCATACATTTAGCTCATAGACATTATTTTCCTACTACTAGTTGGGCTTCAGTAGGAATAAATATAGCTACTAGGATCAAAAAAAAAACTCTTCTTTACCCCCTACAATCCTCAACTCCCAAATTTCAATCCCTTTTTCGTGTTTGGCCTTTTCTCCTTCACCACTAGACCGATTTTAAAAAATTACAAAGCTTTTCCATCCTTCACATTGTAGTAACCTTGTGTGAAAATTTCACCAAAATCCGAGCGGTACTTCTTAAGTTATAGACGGCTATAAAGTTAGCAAGCAGACAGCCCAACCGACGGACGGACAGATAGACCGAAGGAAATGAGTAACATGGTTCTTCGTGATATACATGTCATATAACATCCAAAAAGTACTGATCTATAATACAAAATTACTCAATTACATTTATATTGTACTTTGTTCAAGTCTTTATCAATCCCCTAGTCCATTTATTGTAACTACTGTATTATGAGTTGGTGCGATACCCAAGCACAAGGATATTTTCCTTTTGTGGAATATCAATTTATTCGCAGTTTATAATTCATGTGAATAAATATTATTGTCCAATCCACATTTCTTCCTAGGCATGGGGTTTTCGCTCTAAATTGACCTTTCAACCATGGCTTTTTAGAAAAAAGTCATTTACTAATAATACTAAACTTTTATTGTCTAACATAATGTTTTTTAGGCAATACCTTTTCCTCAGAAAAATTCTATCGAACAAAGTGTATTTTTTAAATAGGATACAGTTTTTATACTTTTTTTCAAAAACTTAAATTGTATGTGTCATTCAATCACATTGTAATGAAAACTGAAAACGCCGTTTCTACTATTTAAAGTTTATTTTTTTACCCTTACACTAATTTATAACAATAACAACTAATGTAACACAAATGTAGAACCATGTCGACTGGACTATCTGGTCGGCTATCAAACTTTACTAGATGAATTCCAGAAGCCTTCCAGAGCGAGCGCGATCCTTGATCGATTACGTTCGATGCTTCTCGCTGGTATTAAATGCTTCCCGAAGATGCGGTTAGCTATATCGGTTATGATGCATGGTGGTGTAACTCTGGTTGCCTAAGCCTCGACATACCGAGGACGTCTCATCATTATTCAAGGTCCAGTTATGAGGGCGCTACAATATGTATACGTCTTTATGCCAGATTGCATAGGCGGTTAAATGTAGACTGGTTTGAATTTGGATTCACAAGAATAAATTACACTACAAACATACATTTGAAAACAATATTATTCAATAATACTTTTCTGAATCATCCTGTATATAAGAAAGATATTACACGTAAGTCCAATAATATGGTGAAAACGCCTGGCCTGTAGGTTATTCGTTCATGCTTCAAGTTTCTGCATTACAACTGAAGGGTACCGACCCTTAATTTCAACATTTTAACGGTGATATAGTATTTTTTAGGGCTCCAAATGTAGGTTTCTAGGTACAAAACTTTAATTACAATTACAGACCCAGAATCACTGTGTCATTTTTATCTCCATTTTTGCCTTACGATAAAATATCGATATGTGAGAAATTTTGTGTATAATTTTTTCAAAACCGTAGATGGTAACTTCAAACATTTCATTTTGTCACATAATACATAGAAACTAACGTTACCTTGTCTCCTAAAAACCGAAAGGCGATTTTCATAATGTGATAACATGTTTATTTTTATCAACTTTCCTCATACATGAAAGTATTATTCCCGCTGCAAAAATAAAATGTTATGAACTTTCTGTAGAAAAGCTCACCTATGCCATTTTCAGACTATTTAACGAGTAAACGACGTTATTTGCATTATTTTAAAACCCATCATTTCCAGAGATCTAAAATGATCCATAAAGTTGTATTGCTTTGACTCTGCAACTTGTGCATATAAAGCTATATAAATTCTCTCAGAAAAGCAGTAAAACCGTTGTAAAGTTGTGTTCTATTTCCGACCTATGGACCCCAGCCGAAATCAAGTCCTATACAAGGTGTCCAAGATAAGGATCCTATAGGGATATAATAAGATTGAATAATTAGGAAAAAGTTGCATTCTTTCGGGCATATTTAAATGCCGTTGAGAAACTGACTTACTGAGATATTTGGAAAAAACTAAAATTTGCCAAATAATTTTTTTTAATTTAAGAAATATCAAAAAACTTATGTAACTTTTATGTTGGCAGTTTTTAGACACTACATGATGGTGTTTATAAATTTCAAGTGTCTAATAGGATATTTGTATACGAATTTAATTATATGTCACATGTTATAATTCTTTTCTTGGTTAAGGGAAAACTAAGTTGCTGAGGACTATGGGATATCAACTAGGCAAATTGAGAAAAATATGGAAGTAGCTAAATCCACAGCCCAATTTATTTTGTGTAAAAATATATATCACCCGGGGATAGCGAACGGCGCTAGCATTTTTGTGAGTGGTACACACGAATTGTAAAAATTTTAATTTCTCCTCAAAAATAATACGAGAGTATGGTCACTAATAATGGTACCTTTAATCGCCGCAAAGCCCATAACTATGCTCAAGAAAATCTGCGGGCTAAAAAAGTATCCAGCCATCAAGAACGTTTTGGGTTTAATGTGTGGTGTGTAATTCTGGGGACCAAATTATTAGATCCATTTATTTGTCACAACATATTAACTGTAGAACGGTACCTTCATTTGTTGTAACATGACCTAGAAGACTGCCGGTATAATTTACTTTTGGCACAGGTTAATAGCTGTTGGTTTCAACAAGACGGTGCTTCTGCTCCAAGTTCGAGAGCATCTTTCTCAGCGATTTCCGGGGGGAACCTACAGTGAAGTGTCCTGACCAGCGCATTCCCCAGTCATAACTCCTCTGGACATTTTGGTTTGGGGTTTTATGAAAAACTAAGTTTTTTAACTGAGCAGCAGTTACGGGAATGTGTAATGAAAGCATTAACCCTTAACTACCGTAGTGCAGAAAGTGTAACGTCATGTGCGGTCTCAGTGGCCGAACATTACTAAAAATCTCAATTACAAAAAATAAAATATTTTGCGAGTTGTAAATATTCAGGCAAAGTAGAATGAGGCCTGAAGTAACACATAATTTTTACAAATTTTTGACGACTGCTCCAAACAAGTAGACTTATGGCACGTTTTACATAAATAAAAAGTTTTTCTTTTAATTCTTGGTGGACAAGTATAACATGTTTTTCTTTTTTTATCATTTTTCCTCCGGAACATCCTCTTCAGCATGGCCAGGGAATAATAGAATTCTACGAATTGTAGTCCAATGGCAAGCTTTAGTTTTGTATTTTCTGTACGCCTAATAAGATGTAGTCTTACCAATTGATCAGCAAGAATTTTTAGAAAGTCTGCTTTTTCGATCTTTGTGCTATTTTTGAACGACTGATGAAGAACATGTGCATTTGCATCAGAAATATCAAGAAACTACGGCCAGATCGCATTCTAGTTGGTGGTCTACTATCGTGCAATGAATATTCACTTTACAGTTTTTGAATTATGCGACGTTTATCGAGCTGAGACGGTGCACCATGACGACCATATTTAGCACGATATGCTCTTTGAGTAGCGACAACACTTCTAGAACTTTGAGAGAACATTTAGACGACTTCCAAACTGCCTGACTGAACACAAAATAACTCAGCTGTCAAAAAATAGACATCTAAGATGGCGGCAGTATGCTGTCAAGATCCTATCATCCGTATTGGGAAACCCTGTAGTATAATTCAGATTCAATCTTGAGGATCTGTGCTGCCAAAAATAAATCCACAAAGTTGACAGGAAATCACCCTGGCTATACAAAAATCTTAATAGATATATAGTCAACGCCAAACAAAGTGGCGTGCACGTCATCACGATAAAAATTCCCCGACTTAATGCCTAGGTTTCTATCACAAACAATTGCTCTATTGCAGTTTCATATTAATGTGATATATAAATTGTAAAATGGTCATTACTCTCTTATTATGGTTAATAGTCATATAAACATTGTTATTAAAATATCACATAAGTTGCTTTCTGATAAATTTAGACGCATTATGCGAAATAAAATGTTTTGCAAACGCTCCAATCACTTATCGACATGTAAACGCACTAAACCGATTTCGCAGCGTTGACACATTGTCTCCTTGAAACTTATTTAAACTGGGAACTGACATTTGTATTAATTTTGACACTGAATCAATTTGTGGCATTTCAAATCTTTATAAATCCTTTGGCCCCGCATACTGTAAATCAACAACTGTTTGTTTCAAAACAAAATTATTCATTTTACGAGTAGATAAAGGCAATTTTGGTATATAAAGATGCCCAAACAGTTAAATAGTCGGTGTAAGGAACTCGTGGCCTCGTTAATGCACTACTTTGAGCAAGAAAGGGACAACAACGGGCCTTTGTTGCCTTTAAATGCTGTTCAAGAGGTAGGTTACTAATAATTATATGTAATGTATATTAATAATAGTGAAATTTTATTTCATTTTTTGTAGCGTGTTGCTGCTGCTTTAAAAATTAGTTTAAGGACAGTTAGTCGTATTTCCGAGGGTGTGAAAAGTGATACAAATTTAGAATCGCCCAAGAAAAAGCGGAGTTATATTAAACGTGTAACCAACACAGCGACATTGGATACAAGTGCCATTCGAGAAGTGATCTATAATATGTATCACAAAAGTAAGATCTTATTATAATAACTTATCAGAAATTTGCA